ACTGGTCGTTTAAGACGACGAAAAAACATTTAAGACGTCAACCAATCAGAGACGATCTTTTATTGAACGCGCTGACCGACCAATCAGTGTTCTTATTTCATAACAGCCAGCGTTTCGTTTCGCAATCTTACTATAGTAACGAGTATTTTCGCAAAAATCCTGACTTTGTCCAGTAAGATTTGATAATTTTGTGCCTATGTCTAATTATCCGCGTTTTCGCAAAACCCCTAGGATTTCCGCGAAGATTCGAAGTATCAAATTATCCTACGACATATATACAATATACTTTGGTACCTATATTGTATTGTAGGATTTCCCCTGTAACATTGAATGGAATAAGAAAAATACCTACAGGAATATTTACAACTGTAATTCACAATGCTTACGTTGGTAGTATAAAATATTGATTTGCAATGACTGTGCATTTTATTTACCTTCGTGTATCTGTGGGACCCGCTTAGGAATATCCAGCGCAACTACTTAATCATAACAGTACAGTAAATGATCTCTGCATCACTTCTAAACTGGTATTCTGGTTTTTGTGGCACTTTAAAGATTAATATGTAAGAAAAGAAAGAAGGAAAGCAAAGTAGCAAAAAGTTTTTAATGCAGAATAGGGATACATCGTGCAGCTCATGAGGTCATGAGCTACCGTAGCTTGGGCGCACCTTTGCCTTTGCCTTTGAGGATAGGAAGGCACTATGTAGGTTGTACTGCGGTCGCCAGTTGCTACTGTTTTTCTCCAGTAGCGTTTTAGGCATAGGTAGGTATGACTATGCTACTTTTCACGAAGGTTGCATAAGTGCAAATGCTTCCAAAACGCTGACAAAAGAAATTGCTTTAACAATTTAATTGTTTTTGTTTCCGTGTTATTCATGCATTATCAGCCCTGAGCAGTTGATTACAGCTATTATTATATAAAAGAAACATTTAATAGGTGACTTAATTGTATGAAAATAAGACTTGTTTTTCACTCGTCGGCGTTTTTCGGAAGCGTTCCGTAAGGCGTACAGCCTGTATACAAAGAAATTTTACAGGCTATAGGTACAACAAAATGAGTATTCGATTTTTGCTCTAGCAATTCTACAAGATAACATAGATACGTAATTATTCACACTTAATGTGTATATTCTCCGTCATAAGTTTATGAGCCTCACAGAACAATAGATAAGAAACTAGGTAACGACACCTACTTTTTATGCTAATGACCCGGCCCTTTAGTGGGCTACAGTTAGATGCGCACGCGCGTGCCTCCGTAATGTCACTGACAGTGACAGTACAGTTACTGACGAAATTGGGTTGGCTTGACACCGTGGACTTTGCCGAATTATTTATTATTAGAAATGTACGAAAAAAATTTCTACAATTTTGATTGGTAAAGTTCTTATACATGGTACCTACTCCACAAAGGTCCTGAAACAAATTATTTTGTTCCGTTGTCGTGTTTGTGACCTCTATTTACGACTAGCTATTCAATTTAAAGCTTTTAAACTTTATAAGCATAGTATGCATGTGTTGTATTAATTGTTTTAATAATTCACGTTTCACCGTAAGCACTAGTGTTGGACATAGGCTTCATTTTTTCTTCATAGTTCATGTAAAAATATTGTATAACAAAAGGCTGGTCTATCAAAAATGTTCATCATTGATATTCAGGAAAGATATGTAGCCAGCAATGGTGCTTAATCGCGCGAGTGTAACGGAGGTTTGCAATTGGATTAGATACCAATTACCAGAAATTATTATGGCATAGGTAACTAGTAAACCTATTGAATTAATAAAATATACCTAACACTGGCTGCTTTACAGTTTTTAGTTTTGAATAATTCTGCCAGGTGGCACTATACGTTTTTGTTTCGTTGCGTTGTTGTTCTTACCTTTCATAAAAGTATGTGCAAGTAAATAAAAGTAAATATAATTATTTACTATATAAATATAATGATTTATTTATTTGGCGTTCCTTAGTCTCTGCCTACCCCCATGGGAGACAGGCGTGAAGTTATGTATGTATGTATAATTATTTACAAGAATACAATCTTTTATTAGAATTCCTAGCCCCTAACTCAATGAAACCCCTTTAATAATTCATAAAGCTATGAATGTCGGTAAAAACAAAAAAGTTGTGGCCGATGAAGTCTAGTTAGCAAGTTCGATTGTGCAAAGTGCATAATTTTTTTTTTAATATGATTACCACACTATGATTTTCTCCTGTGTCGTAGGTGCGTTTACAAACGTCCACATACACATGACACCCAGACCCAGAACAACAATCTGTGGATCACACTAAGAGTTGTTCCGTGCGGGAATCGAACCGGCGACACGTTGGCCGGTAGTCAGTTGCCCAACCACCGCACCAACCGTGCAGTCAATACATCATCATCATCAATCAATAAATAAATAATAAGTTTTCTTAAATATTATATTGGTGGCATCACTATGCTTGGGTTTGTACCCATTTCGTGTGCACCATAACAATGCACCATACACCGGGTGCGTTGACGCGGCTAATGCGTGACACGCCTTATATTTTTACTCTGTGCTTTACGACTATTACATTATGTTCAAGTTCCATTGGTCGCTTGTACACGAATATGCAAAAGTAGAGTCTGTACAAAAGTCGCAATGGATATCAAAGGGATTTATTTATCTTGTATGTTTATGTGCTGGTTTTGGGGTCACGGTTTTGTATGAATTAAGCTTATGTTTGTATGTACACGTTTCATATGTTAACTGCAAGTAATTTAAGTGTGAGTACTTATGGCTCTTGACATCGGCGAATACCTATAACATAATTGTTTTAAAAAAAATTTTTTTTTACTTACGGTATCCGTTAAAGGCGCAATTTTGGCGGTTTCCACGTCGACTTCGCACAAAAATTCTCTCGAATCAGGCGCTATGGTAACCCAATTCTCGTACAAATGATCCACTTTTAGTTTTTATTGATTACTGTTATTTTAATAAAATAAAAAACGTAATTTTTCAAACTAAATTACACAAATATACTTAATGTCAAAAAAGCGCGCGCAGTTCTATTTTCGAATTTGGATTTTATGCGTCAATTTTTTTTTTCTCGGGAGGCAACAGTATATTTCGGCCTAGTTGTCGTGAAGTTTGCTATGCGAGGAATAGGAGACTAATCCAATGTTCATCACACCAGTGAGTCAGTAGGTCCCAACAACAGGCTGATTACACTTAACCTGTGACCTTAGCCCCGACATTAATTTGACTGCATTGACCCCGGACACTTATCCCATGCTTGTACACCTGATATTTCCTGTCAAACCTAGATAATCTTTTAAACAACTGACTTGTGTTATGGAAACCAATTCCCGTTGAATAAAAAAAATCAAGATTATATAAAAACTAAAAATACAAACTATTGTTTTCCAATTTGTTCGTTTTGTGGGAAAATGCCTACGTTTACATAGGTTCCCTATATACCTAATATATGAACTGTACTTCCCTAATGAATACGGAATAAGGATAAAACTAATTATGACGTACTTTGTACGTATGTACATTCGTAATACGTAGTTTTATAGAAAACAAATTCTGTCAGTCTATGGGATTATTAGTTCGATCGACTATCCACATAAGTACGTCATAAATTAATGGTGCCCAATAAGGTTATAAACATAAGTACTTTCCTCTGTTCATAATATTATTATATTTATTGTTCATGCGTACCAGGAATTACCACTTAGAGGGAATATTTAAACAGACTATATAGGTCAACAATAGGTGCGCAAATCCTCGATAAAAACTAGTTAATCGATTTAAATTAACTGCTACATAAGTCTTCTATAATCTGTAGGCCTTTAAATTTCTTTATCTACATTTTCCAAGTAGGATATATTGCGTTTTGTTTCGTCGTGTGAGTGAGGTTACCGGAGACCCAATTATGCCCCTTCCCAAATCTGAATCCCGAACAATCTCCAAAAGGCAGGTAACGCACTTGTAACGCCTCATGTGCTCCAGTGGTGGGCGACACCGATTGCTTACCATCAGGTGATCCGTCAGCACGTTTACCGGCTTATCCCATAAAAAAATAGTTTAAAAAATCTGTAAAAAATATAGAGACTTCGAAAAAAGAAGCTCGCAAACATTTCCTTGTAAGCCAGTGACTGTACTTGACTTTTCTATTACAGTAGTATGCCATGGTAGTTTACTATTTACATGTCTACGTCATCAGAATTCCCCATTGTCCGTTTACTGGGGATGAATTTGCCAATACACTATAATCGATCAAAATCAACAGGGTAAATAAAAACACACGATATATTTCACATTAATTTATTTATTTCAAAATAATAATTAGACTTTAAAAAATCATAACTGACATATAAAACAGGGTCTACATTAACTAACTTACACAGAAGGTGGGAAATATAATAAGTCGGTAGAAAATGTTCTGTAGAAGAGCATAATATTGATACAGAATAATTTTAAAAATGTATTTTTATGATATAGCTTTTTGTATAGGGCAAGTTTACTTTGAAAACGTTCGTTAACGCGCTGCAATTCGAGCGTCTACGCGCGTCATCGTACGCTCATATGAAAACTGTCCTTCGGAATTCCTAAACACTTACTCCGTCAATAAATATTTACCGCCATACTCAGAGTCATTATCGTAACAAAATTCTTACTAACGTATAAGCATACCAGATATTTTTTACTGGGGAATAACTTAGAACATTTAACAATTCTTCCATACTGAAAACTGTCAAATGTCAATTTTATTCTACAGTTAACAATGAACTGATCATTGAAAAATCGACCCTAAATGTCTTTGAGTACAGCAGTTAATTCGTGTAGGAATACTTACATAATCGATATATTCGTTTGTCAAAATCCTTATTATACTAAAATCCTTAGATCAAAATATAAAAGGATTATAACTATTTACTGTTATTACTCGGTTATTAGAGGGTCGTTCGTAAAACACTTAATAATACTTAAAGTTACAAATAAAATTAAGTTTATTTATAGTAAGTGCTAAATTACATCTCCTTGGTGAAGTGTATGACGGAGAGTGCTGTGTCTAAGAGGTACACTGCTCCGTTGATCACGCAGAGGGCACCGACGGCAATACCCACCTGAAATTTACAAAGAAAAATGTATAAATAAACCAGCCTGTAAATATCTCTTGGTACAAGGTACAAGAAAGACCTTTGGTTTTAAACAATCTTTTCTTTCTTTCTTTACCAAACGGTAAAGAAAGACAACCTTTTCTTTCTTTCTTTACCAAACGGTTTACCAAACGGATTGTTTAAAACCAAAGGTCTTTCTTGTACAAAATTACCATTGACCACCATGTTTGTGCAAGCTGGATGACGAATCCAGACTTAAAATATGTTTAACTATCTGACTCAGTATACTTCGTACCACCTAATTTTTTCTCACCTTTTAAACCTTCCATGGACTTCCACGAACATTTCAAGATCAAAATTAGCAAAATCAGTTCAGCCGTTCTCGAGAATTCAACGATAATTTATTTTTATTTATAAGGAGATTATAAATCCCATCCAAATCTAAGATTGAGAGTATGGAGAGTATGAGTAAAACATCTTAAAGAGTTGTAACAAATAATCCGTTAGGTTAGTAGTCTGCTGGTAAACAGTGAATACCAAGTACTAAATCTCAATTAACTACTCAATACTCAAGTAGGTAGAAGAGTAAAGAAGATCCATTAATTAACATGCACTTCGTTACTACCACATAAGACTTTTTACTTATTTGATCATGAAAAGACCTCGACACCATCCGTCTAGTTTCATTGACTGTCTCGTGAAATCATGAAATCATTTCGATTTGAGAAAGTTTACTTAATTACATTTTCTATAATCGACTAATTATTATCACCGTAACAGCTAAGAATTATGCATTAAGTCATAATAACCGTTGGAAATGTAATTAATTATGTCCTTAGTCTAGATAAAGTTTCTAAAACCATTCGCGAATGGATTAAGAGAATACTCAGTTGATACTTCATGAGTTAGAAGTGATTTCAAAAATCACCAATAGCTTGGAGTTAAAAATGTGCCTACAATGGCTTGATTATGGGGCTCATAACAAAACCGGTGAAAAGTAAGCATTACGATTTACGATTAATATGCATAGACCCTTGAATATAATTCTAGGGTCGGCAGACTAAACCACATAAGTCAAAAAATGCTTTTTTTTATTATTATACCATCAACGTTTAAATAAATTAATACATCGACGGACTACAGTATATAATTTAGAGTCGGCCATGACTGTGACTTAGATATGCTTTAATAGGTAATATCATCATCATAACATTTCTTTTATCCCCGAAGAGGTAGGCAGAGGTGCACACAGAAGTAACACCCACTTTCCACTATTTAGGTATGTTATGAGTCCCATGTAATAGGGGGTGAGCCTATTGCCATATACCAGGCACATTTTTGGATTAAGATTTTTTAAAACTCAGTAATACTTTGCCCGACCCAGGAATCGAACCCGAGACCCCTTGCAGTCGCACTTGCTACCACTCGGCCAAAGAGGCAGGCAGTATAGGTAATAATAATAAGGTATAATAACAAAAATCATTTTTTGACTTATGTTATTTAGTCTGCTGACCCTAGAATTAAAGGCGTGACTTTATCTGTTTATTTAGTGCTACCTAAAAAAGCTGAATACAGTGTACCTGTTTCTCAGCAAACACGAACTGGTACTGGTGCTCTCCCTGGTAACCTCCCCAGTAGTGCAGGGCCACGGCACCCACGGCGATCCACATAAACACACCCACGAAGTTCATCACTATCTCTGACAATGCCCTGGAAATATTAAGATGGTGATTAGCGTCGTGCAGAAATAGAGAAAATATGGTGCGTCTGGATATGATTAACACTTGGTTGTTGATTTAGTAATCTAGTCCATTTTACTAAGCTTATATTCTTGTGCTTTGGAAAAGGAAAGACGTCATTTGACAAAGCTTATAGGTCCTTGAAATCAACAATACCTTAAAGAAGTGGAAGAACATGTTCTATCTATATTAAGATGAATAAGCCTAACTCAGGTCGTAGCCAATTTAAAAACGTCATAAGTACCTACATAGTCTACTGTGGATTTTTTTTTAGGGGGGAAAATCATCGAATGGCTGCTCCCGCCTGGGTGAGGCGGGAGGGAATGTCAGACTCTTACTGACTAAAAACCACCCCGTTCCTTCTCCTGCACGTCGAGCCGGAGCCCCGGTTACCCGTTAGGTTCTCCGCGACTCCGAATCGGCATCGGCCCTATTGGGCCCCATCTGTGGTGGTCTGATGGCTCTTTGAGGCGCGCGCGGAACGCGACGCTCGGGTCTGTTTCTGGTCGGACGGGGAGCCACACATGCTCGCCGTCCGCAGGCCCGCGCTTACGGTGGCCGGAGATCGTCCCGCGATCCCCGACGCCCGGTGTGTCCTTCGCGATGGCTGGGTTGCGAGGAGGCAGCGCTTCGCTGCCTCACGCGTCCCGCCTCCTCCTTAGCTAGCATGACTGCTTCGCAAAAGGAGGAGACGGCATCCCAGTCCCCCTCGCTCCGCATCATGGCCTGCACTAGGCCCGGACGCGAGAGGTCGCCATCGCCGATCACTTCCCTGAGGGCACGGCGGTGCTCAGCCCACGCAGGGCATTCTCCCACTGTGTGTTCCACCGTGTCCTCAGGGCGGTCCTCGCAGTGATGACACCCGGGCGTTTCCTCCCGCCCCATCAGACACAGGTACCTCCCGAAACTTCCATGTCCGCTGAGGACCTGCGTCAGGCGGTAGGTGAGGACGCCGTAGCGTCTCTCAAGCCACTCCTCAAAGAGGGGTCTTACCGCTGCAATGGCAGCGAGCCCAAGTCTACTGTGGATACGTGGGCTGTAAACGTAACCGTATTTTGAAAATAAAATATTAAACTATACAATAAATAAACATACCTCTTATGCTCAGTGGTACCAAAAAGATATGTGACCATTTGCACAAGTGTGTATATGAGGTAACCCACGATGACTCCAGAGGCCACGATCTCAGCATCGGGATTCTTCTCTTCATTGAGGTTCCACGTACCTCCCACTCCCAAGAACTCTCCATTGTAACCAGTTCGGTAAAGAACCAGAATTACTATGTTCAATACCTGAGGAAGAAGATTACAAAAATTGTTAATGCAATTGAAAGTCTGAATGTTTTGTCTAAAACCACTTTGTAATTTTGAAAAGTATTGACATATATTTTTTGATTAACATCGTAAATTCTACTTCATCAATTATACGAGCTAATTATTTAACAACAAAAATCCAAATTACATTTAGATAGCCATGCCAATCTTAAATTATTCTTCCCAAAAAAACATAAAAGCCGTTGAACCAAAAATCCTTAGATAAGAATAAAAACTATTTATGAGTAAACTCATTTCTAAGTAACGACTTCCTAGTCTATGTTCAAACAACGTTACTCATTAGTAGGTAGTATTTCCTGTTATTCTGCTTATCACCACTTCTGATGGATTAATCAGTGGGTGCTATGCTACTGTTACGTGGATATCCACTGAGTCACTGATATCACAAGGATTAAGACGAATCCTGTTGATGACAATCATCGTTTGATCAAACTTGTTTATAGTTTCTCGTATTTTGTTATCTTTGTATCCGGTTGTGGATATTTTTTGAGTTGGGAAAAATCATCGGATGGCTTCTTCCAGTGAGGTGGCACACCCGCCAGACTCTTACTGACTAAAAACCACCCCGTTCCTACTCCAGCCGGAGCCCCGGTAACCTTTTACGTTCTCCGTATCAGCATCAGCCCTATTGGGCTCCACTCGTGGTGGTCTGATGGCTCTTTGAGGCGCGCAAATACATTTATTTGAGTAGTTTTTAATAATTGGTTGATTATGTTTCATGTGTTCTTGCTCCAAAATATTGCTAATTGATTCATCTAAGCAGATTCCTAAACATTTTTATCGAAAGAATTTAATTTGAACACATATTCAATTATTCACCACTTAAACACTGATCGGAATGTGATCAATTCACAATTGTATGAAATCTTTGTTTTTATTGTTTTGTTATTTATGTATGAGACTACGATCAGCCACAAATACTTAAGTAGCAAAGATTAGTACTAGTTAATTCAGACAACTTACTACTAACGATATTTCTGTTTCATACTTGGTATTTGATATCACCAATAACCATTACACTTGTATCAAGAATGTACACCTGACGTCGCCCTAAAATATTATTATTGCCAATAAAAGTGAAAACTTGTGTAAATATTCGCAATATAGTTATTAGCTACGCTGGGCACATTGGCGCGGCATCGATCAACAATTTGTGTGTCACAAATCGATAAGATACCGTATCGTAGAATTCTCGATAATCGTCCATACAGTCATTTCTAGTTATAAGAAACATGGCTCCTTTTGTCTTTGATGCTATAACACGGAACTGCGTAAATGTTGGAATTAGAAGGTGTTTCTTCTTAGTGAGAAAGCGATTACATAGGTACTGGGTTTGATAAAGGATTCTTAACTTTTTGCTCATTAAATTGGGCATTGATGAATTCAGACATATATTGTGAAATGTGATATGCAAGCATTGTTCTCGTCGCGGAGAACCTAACAGGTTACCGGGGCTCCGGCTCGACGTGCAGGAGAAGGATCGGGGTGGTTTTAGTCAGTAAGAGTCTGACACTCCCTCTCGCCTCACCCAGGCGGGAGCAGTCATTCGTTGATTGTCCCCCTTAAAAAAAGCATTGTTCTCTTTGATGTAACAAAACATCTTTAAACTGATTTTCATCGTATCTAGATTATGGATTTCAATTCCCTTCTACAAGTACTCGTGTTTTTGGTAGAGCGAAATCAAAACAATAGAGGTTTGTGCGACGCCCAGAAATAAAAACCGTTACACCTCGGAACCCATAGCCGTGAAGAAATCACTAGGTTCAGGAACCCATCGATTACCAGATCGTCTTACTAAATCTAAATAACAAAATTTTTCGATTGTTTTTGAAGGAAGAATGCTAATCTTGTCGTCAGATCAATCAATCGTTAATCCTTTTCATGAAATGTAATCTTGTTTCTTACTTATATTATAAATGCGTCGTCGTGGTGGCCCGGAGGTTTAAGATGCCCGCTTTTCATGCATAAGGGTGCGGGTTCGAAACCTACCTACAGCAAGTACCAATGTGACTTTTTCCGAGTTATATGTACTTCCTAAGATTATCTAGACACCACTGACAAACGGTGAAGGAAAACATCGTGAGGAAACCTGGACTTATAATGTCTAATTACAAGCCTGTAATCGCTAACCCGCATTGAGCAAGCGTGGTAATTAATGCTCAAACCTTCTCCGTGAGAGAAGAGGCTTTGCTCAGCAGTGGGCATTTATAGACTGTTGATGATGATGATGATTATAAATGCGAAAGTCTTATGAGGTTCTTCAAGAAAGAAGTAAACGGGTTTATAAAGGGTCGGCAAGGCGTATGTAATGCCGTATGTGTTGCAAGCGTTCATAGGCGACGGTAACCACTTACCATCAGGTGGGCCGTGTGCATTTCTTGCTACCGTCGTGGTATAAAAAAAATAAAAGTCTGTGTGTTTGTGTGTTACTTAATCACGTCGAAACGTCTGAAGGGATTGCGTTGAAATTAGGAATAGGAATAGATCATAGTCTAGAACAGCACACGTGGGTAAAGCCGCGAGCAGAAGCTAATTCTTTATAACATTGCAGCTACATTACAAAAAAGAAAGCACACAATAATATTACATAGGCAAATATTTGTACACAGTTTCATGCAAATAATAGTTTCTGAGGAAAAGCGTGCAGAAATGTAGGACTTGTTTTTATAATAAGGTTAGAATCTCTAATTGCTCACTTGAACTTTGCCATAACCACGTGGAGCTTTACTCTATGGAGAAAGGAGGTGCATTCATTTACTATGCGGATTCCCGACCAAGAAATAGGCCTTACCCTTTATTTATTTGGAATAGCTATCCTTGATTTATGTAGATTCTACATTTTATTTATTTTTATATAGAAAACGCAATACCAAATTTGATTTCAACACTAATGTTCTCAGATTTTCAATAGGGTAGTTAGTTTCCTAAATTTTATTTTAATGTCCGTCTGGTAGATTAATTTAAAACAATAGACACGTATTTTTTCTTTTCTTACAAAATTAAATACTTTCAGCGATATATTAATTTGAAATATCATGTGACGTAACGACCTCCCACTCCTAAACTTAACGCCATTTTATCTAAGTATTATAAGTGCATACGAGTAAATAAAAAAAAACGTGTCTAATATTTCTTCATTATCTAACTGACGGACTAATTAGTTTTTTTTAATTTTCATACCCTGGAAACTATCCTATTGTTTATTTCTACTGTAAATATTGCAATAAATACTCTTTGCAAATTATTGTAAGCTTCAGTAGTTTGTATGAATTAAACAATGAAGTTAGGAGACCGTCTCAGAATGCCTTTAAAAAAGTATTATCATAAACGTTTCAAAGTACAGTAAATTGATAAAAACAGTTATTCTTGAGACATATTATTATCGGAACTATTTGTTGACATTGAGTATCGATAGCGAACTGACGTCAACAACAGAAATCATTGCCATTTGAACAAAAACGAATCTTGTTAAACAAAGCTTGAAATGTGAGAGAAAAACAGTTTGTGGTCAATTGAAGTTCCGTTCAGTTGTTTGCCAAAAAATATTCATGCTTAATACTTTTTGTAAAATGAAACGAACATCTAAATTCATCAATACCTGTGTGTGTAGTATTTTTAGCACCTATTCCGCGTATCAACAGTTAAAATTAATCGTAATCTAGTTCTTTTCCGCCATTGTATCTATGCTCACGATTTTATATCTTACCCCCTTAATAATTACAGAAATTAGCATGATTGGCAATCCTTTTTCATTAACATAACAACTTTAAGTGTCTTTTCGCACGCTCCGGTTACTGAGCAGCTCGTACAGCATACTCTTTTGTTTTTAAAACCTTACGTGTATACCTTTAACGGTCCAATTTAATAACCAATCTCAATTCATAGATTTTGGATCCATTTTTGACAATATTGCATTTAAAAAAAACCGTTGCCCCACTCTAGGATTTTCTCCTATGCCGTGGGTGCGTTTACAAAAATACAAGTTCACATACTATACACATAACACTCAGACCCGAAACAACAATTTATAGATCACACAAAGTGTTGTTCCGTGCGGGAATCGAACCCGCGACACGTTGCGCGGCAGCCGGTTGCCCAGCCACCAGCATCAACCGTTCAGTCCATATTGAATTTCTGTTAAAAATGTCAGAGATTTTAGATTAAAGGCGGTCATTAAATTTGGACGTAAAGTCGACCCGTGAAGTCAAAGATTCGTGGGTTGGTAATAATACATTTTAATGCACCGCTCATTAAGTTGTTACTCATCTCTGTAAAGATTGGCATGTGCTAGATAACCCTAGCCCACACACAATATCTTATCACCACATTCTCTCCCTGTGTAACGAGGTAAATTCATGTTAATCCTATTTATATGCAATTAAGATTCTAGTTCATTTGGTTCCTTGCATTAGTCACGGAAATTAGTTAACTACTGTTTATTACAAAGTTTTGTTTAGATAATATTGTAGGTAATATTGTACACGAATATTTTATTAGTTCTTTTTTATATTTTGATGGTCTGCTGAATTCATCGTCTTAATGAATTGATAAAAAAACACCTAATTGGGTAAGAACTACTTTCATAAGAACAGGCTTAGTACAAAGTAGGTTCCGAATTACATATCTACGTATTACTATGAGAAATTGAATCATAATTCGTTCGTAAATTGTCAATGTTTGCTCTTCAGCATTATGGAATCAACAAAAACAAAAGTCGTGCAATAATTCAGTGAGTTCCAGTAGTGTTGTTTGACATTACGTGACCCCTCGCATCAGTCAATGGATTGCGTCGGAATTATTTCATCGGTACGTTATTGACCCGTGATGTGATGCCAGATAGAAATCTACGTTATTTTACTGTAAAGTCATGTAAGACAAAAATAATCATGTTTGCTTAAAATATTTGTTGGTATTACATAATTAGGAATAAAAAATATATAGAAAAACGTTTTGTTCTGATAAAAGTTCAAATTCTCTGACAGTTTCCCTGTCGCTAAATACAGTTTGGTATCAAAATGTCATTAATTAAGTTAAATCATAATGTTATACGAGTTAGTTAAATGTAGGCTTCTCTGTTGCCATTTGCCATGACCTTTTATGCCCTATTTTTAGTTGGGCGGGTCTAGCTTGGGTGCCCGTCAATGCAACTCCCCTTTCAACGTGATATTCGCTTTCAATAGGTTTATCATCATTTAGATCATAATCACAACAACATATTATATCTAATCGTCTTGTTATGAAGAATAACAAGCAACCTCATATTTAATATTTTTCAATAGGCTATGTAACAAATGCAATCTTATATTGCATCTTCTTAAACGATAGTCACATCATTAGCAAAATGAAGAAGGAACTGCATCTGTCTACTGATCTCGTTTGTGACGCGCCCAAGGTCCGGATAACGACAATTACTTGACACAATCATTACTCATGGGTCAGGAGTCAGGAGTCAATGGTTAAGAAGCACAGACTTCACTCAGGATGCCGTGGAGTAGAAGATTTTAAAAACATAAAGAAAAAATAATTGACGTTCAGTGTTTACCCATAAAAACTTACAATAAATGAATGGCTGATTTTAAAATTACGAAATACCTTCAAGTTTATAGAAAAACAAGGTTTAGAAAGCGACTGTTTCTTTCTTAAGATTGACACGATTATTCATAGTATTAGAGGTTCAACTTGTCAATCCGACACTATTCAACTCTCAACTATTCTTTGTTAACGAGATTACCAATAAATACCAAATTACAACAGTTTTTCAAACACCTTCAATTAATACTAGGGTATAACCAGGGTGTCTTCAAGGCCCGAGTGAATAGGTTGCTTTTGACTTCATCCATCGTAGACCGCATTATCGGTTACCACCAGGCGAGATAGTGGTCAAACGTCGGCCCATCAAATATAAAAAAAATACTTTAAACAAGACAAGCAATCAAACAGATATTGAAACCATTCTAATGTTATTCTCACCTCTATTCCTTGACTAAGGAACATTAGCATCTTAAACAGTTTCGAGTACTAGGCAATAAGGTTCAAACTTTAATACTAAAATTTTCTCAGACCATAGCAAGTCTACTGTCTATCTCTTCCTGTCACCGTCTAATTACCGCTGCAAACATCCTGCACATGTTTATCTGCTACTCTCTACAGCTGCCAATTACGACCAATAAGCAATAACTGCATTAATGACGTCACAGGAAGGATCCTATATAATTCCAACTGACTTTGAAATCAAAACAATTATTGTGGTGATTTTAATCAGTTTCATCATGGTGTCAATTGTGATTCATTTACAATTTGTGATGAAGATGATACTTAATTAGGTACAGCTGTCCGGCGAATTAGTGTTTAAAATAAATATGTATATGTGGTTCGAAGCAAGTGTAACAATTTTTCATCAAAAAGAAGTTATGAAATAAGTAGTAATTGTTGTAGCTTTGGTTGTGAGTTGGTGGTTAGGTAGGTTGGTGTAGACATGATAAGCTTCTAACGAAGTAGTTACAGGGTGCTTACTCTTGAAACCAATCTCAATATCAATGCGATTTCAATCCAATAAAATCTCAATAATTATACTACCGCTATCGTAGCTGTTAAAATAGCATTTAGAGTACGGAATGTACTGCCAAATTCAATACCATTTAGTTCATTAAAGATTCACGCAATACGGATGCAATGGGCGCTAGTGTTGCAACTCAAGAGTACGAAATTTTACAATATCAATGTCGATCGATCGGAATTGGATTCAAGCGTAAGCCCCCTGATCTGAAATATTGGTTTTCTACCTCCTTTTTAATTGCCGAATAATGAGGAGGCTTCATAATAAGTATGGTATTTTCCATCTTTATTTGAAAACGCAACTTTATCATGGATAAGAATAACTCTCACTAGCTTCTTATAAAACCAAATTACAATAACCAGAAGTAAACGATACCAGAAATTATGAATTTCTAAATCAACAATCGGGAACGTATTATAGTACTTGAATACTCAGAAGTCACGGAGCGGATCGATCACGTACATAATGTGGCACATAATGGGCGCATTCAAGGTAAATAGCGTACGATTTGATTGTCCACGTCGCCTGGGAGAGCCATTGTATGCGCGCGAGTTGATCGAGATGTCATGCATCTGTAATGTGAGCTAGAAAATGCATGTGCTTACATTCGAATAAGTAGAAGAGATACCAATACAATGCTTTTGTAACGCTGTTTAAGAACGTAGTTTCAATCATTCGCTTGACTTCCCTCCAAGAAATAAATAAGCACTAGAGCAATAACCTTTCTAACATTTAATTATTTATCATCATCATCATCAGCAACAGCCTATAAATGCCCACTGCTGAGCAAAGCCTCTTCTCACACGAAGAAGGTTTGAGCATTAACCACCAATTGCTCAATGCGAGTTGGAAATTCCACATATAATTATAAATTATATGCCCAGGTTTCCTCACGATGTTTTCCTTCACCGTTTGTCAGTGGTGTCTAAATAATCTTAGAAAGTACATACATATGACTATGAAAGTCCCATTGGTACTTGTCGTTGGTTTCAAACCCGCAGTCTCATGCACTAGAAGCGGGCGTCTTAAACCTCCGGGCCACCATGCATTATTTATTCTCTACATTTATTTAGGAACTGTTAATAATAAGTTTTCTCATGACAACAATTCCAATCATCCAAAATATACATTTAGCAATAGACTCTGTCCTATGTATGGCTTCTGTTATTCCCTCAAAAGGCGAACTGACTCATTTCAATCATTATGGTCCAAAACCATCCCGAGTTATTACTTCATTGAAACTAGCCAAGCACTTATTACTCATGGTATTACTCATTGGTACTCTAAAGTACCTTTAGCTGTGTGGTGAGTAAAGCGTTATCTGATAAATTTGTTTGTTCTACTGTTTTGCAATGTGCTCTGCGGTTGGAGAACCAAGGACCACAGACTGAGTAGGAGGAACACGTGAATGATGACTTAGCTTTACAATTAGTTGGAACCCTTAGGTATATTGTAATGTTACAAGCAAACATCATGATTACGTTTATACATGATTTTACTTTATTGGGTTGTGTAATTGGCAATTTGGCAATAAGGTTTTACTTATTAAATCGCATAGTAAATAACAAAGTTAAAGTACATGTCAATGTTAATGATGATCTATGTGTCAAAGAAGACAACACAAAATTTGTAATAGCTAATCATAAACAATCAAATGAAGAGCTCAAAGATAATTAGAACGTTTCAAGGAAACTGTTTGTTAATTTCGATGTAAAATCAATCAATCCAGCTAGTGCTAATTCGTCTAATTTAAGGTACTCAATTTAAGGTGACAGTAGTAGGATTTGGGAATTATAACAGCAAAAGAAAAATACTTCACTGAAATAAAAAAAAACAATTAATGCTGAATCAAATTAATCTTAAAGTTGATAATAAAGGTGAAGATAAAGAAATCAACTAGAAAGCACAAGATCATTTACAATACACCTGTCAACCACGATCAAATGAATGTAGTAAGTACTTTAATTAAAGTATGAGTTAGCTCTGTATCAAGTAGGTGTGGCTATCTCGTTATCAGCTTGATAGGAAATGAGGCCGCTAGGGCCGATTAACCTTAGCGTAGATGCACAGAAATTAACAAATTGTAAAGAATTTACTGCTGGTGGCGTTATTTTAACTGTATTTATGAGTCAGGTTTCTATATAGTTCGCAGGTTCTTTTCTTATCAATAAGTCCGTCTTCTAGATAAATTACTTGTTCATTATACAACTATGTTATTGCTTTTACTCCAATTATTGTACTTATTGTACTATTATTGTACTCTTGCTTGTTAATATTATAACTAGTAGTTTTAATCATTATAGATACTTCTCTTCTTATGCCTTCGACGTTGATGTTTTACGCTTCCAATTCTCATTTCAAACATCTTTTTCAAAATTGTCGAAATTTTCGAGCAAGTATTATTCCTAAACTATACGGACCAACTGATATGTGTATGTACTTTACTTCCTATCACTCGATGTTCGTCAACTTCTTTAGCAATTTCCTCATAATCTAATTTGATTGATTCTTCTTCAATGAAAATGTGTTTATTAATTTGTTTTCCTCAACATAATTGTCCGCAAACATCATTCGATAGATATATTTCTATACTTGTATTTTTATCAGTAACATGACATCACTCAGAACATAATTGTAGACTAAAATTGATATTATTTAATTTTTCTTTAATCCTTAGTAAATATTCCAGTTTAAAGTTTATTTTAAATGAATCATGTCCTTTGTTCTTAGAATAATGACCCCTTTTACAATTAATTATTATTTTAGTTTATTCTTTATCAAGTAGGCATGGCGGGTTGTTGTGTCAAGCCAAATGTGACTGTACTATTGACCCGTACCGTAATATCTCATAGTATATTTTGTTAAAGATGGACCTAATGCTACATTGTTTTGCATACCTACCTACAGACCCTTGAAATGACCTTTCTTCTTGCTCTTTCAACTTCTTTGGCGTATTTATAAAGATTTTTCTAATACATAAAATGAACTACTTAACTGGCTTTAACCATGCACATTATAGCAGACCAATTTTGTTTTCTAGCTTCGTCAGCTATACTTTCTTGTTTTTAATATTCAAGTATTGATTTGTACATATATTGTAATCATCCTAATGGATACCAATAGTTACATTCCATCCATGAACTAAAGAGACTTTATATCGGTGCCGCACCTTAATATTACCGTGTGTTCTGACATACATTCTTTCAAAGAATACTCAGTGATTGTACTTACAATTTTGAATGTCTTCACGACGATCGTCGCGATAGTTTGCACCGACACCATTGTCACTTGCACTCAGTATTCACCACAATAGTAATTTATATTTACACTTCTTTTGTCTTTGTGTCCGTTTTCGCCAAAACGTTGCCCGTCACTGTATGACTCTGGTTATCTTTTTGTATGACTTTATCAGCACATTCGACTTCTAATCTTATCTCCAGCAAATTAGTAGGGCAGGTTGCAGTACCTTCACACCTGCTGTTTGAAATGTGATCTTATTGTAGTATTTTTAGATATTATTTTTGTATTATCTCCTATTTTTCGTTGTTGATCTAAGCTGTTATCAACATTTTAGGCTACTATTCTATTTTTTCTGATACAATGAGCGTGAATCAATTGTGTTTCTTTGATATTTGTTACTATTATTTTCTTTTTCTAACGTTCATTTTTATTTCTTGTAGAGTAGAACCATCAACATAGCACGAAACGTGTCAATTAAATGCAAATGCTGTAGTTACTGGAATTTCTTTATAAGCAATTCTCCATTATTGATTTTATAATTTGCGCGGGAAAATAGCAACTGGTTGACGCCATGTTCTTTGCTCAGTACCTATAGAACATTTAATGGTGCCTGTGCGTGCAGGGAAGTAAATTAACAGAAATGATGGAAGTCATAAAATATGCATGTCCATTTACTTAATAGTCTAATAACAAATGAACCGACATAGCATCATCAAATTTAGTCAGACAAAAATATCATCCAGTAAAAGTTCCTGTTTTCGGATTTAGAAGAATGTAGATAATTTTATTTTGCTTTAAATAGAGCGCTAGCGAGATGCAAGTGTGTATTTAAAATGTAATTACTTGTGCATCGAATCCTAACCTACTGCTTACTTAGCTACGTGACCTATACGAAGGAAAACAATAGAGAAAACTTTCCTTAATTATTTTCCCCCTGTAAAGCATTACATTACAAGGATTGCTTGTTTACCTAACAGTACCTAATACCTATATGTATACATTAACTGCAACTTGAACATATTTCATAAACATAAAAAATGCAATAAATAGGTAAACAAGAATAAAAAACATCAAACGTCAGTGTGAATTGACAAGGTATTTGTATTTAATTTGAGACCACTGCACCACTCGTGCGCAACTCAAATTGCAATAATTAATTAATTGGCCAACAGCTGATTAACGGACAACCGTGACACATTGAAGGTTGGAAATCTATTAAAGTCAATGTCCTAAATAAGAAACTCTCATTTTCCAACAAAAACTGACAAAGTGCTAGTCGGACTCGCACACGAAGGGTTCCGTGCCATTCTTCCGTTTAAGTATCCATTCGAGCACTAATCGGCATTAAAATTAACTTTCATGAACGCCCTTTGAAGAGGCATCAAATACATCATAACATAACATCACGCGTTTTTATCCCCGAAGGAATAGAGGTGAACAATACGGCACTTAATACCACTGTACAATGTAACACCCACATTTCACTTTTATGTTATTATGAGTCCCATGTAATAGGAAGTGAGCCTAAACGTCAAATCAAATACATGATCTTTCCTTTTAACTGTCTAGCTATCTACTACATCTGAATCACATGATGTACACAGTGATGTAGTGTAAGCTAGACTGTAGCCTAAAAGAAGAAGAAGACTAGGCTGGAGCCTAGTGACAGACAGATAGACGGACGAAAACGGAGTCTTAGCAATAGGGTTCCCTTTTTTACCCTTTATGTACGGAATCCTAAAAACTTTATCCACAAGACAAAGGGTTCTTACGAAAGACCAAAATGGTTGGGAACCACAGAACTAGAGTTGGGAAACATTTCTGTTTCGTAAACACCTTCCGGATGCCTTAAAACGAAGCGTGACGCATTATCTGTACTTGTAAGACTTGCAGGTGTTGATAACAAGATTTAATGTACTAAATTTATAATACGTATTAAAAGTAAATAGTTTCTATCTCATTTGGTCAGGCCTTTTAGCTCGCTGTGTGTCATAGAATTTTATTCCATACCTATTTATTTATAAAGGGACTCAAGGCAAGATCAGTATTACAGTTTTAACCCTGATTCTTAAGGGGCACTCAAAATTCTGTTAAGGTATAGTTACATAACATCAAATATAATTCTCATAATATACTTATCATTCTTCATATCCTATATTTAACTCATATTCTTATCCAATGTCTATTTTTATAAACATGCTAAGTGGCTGCAGAAATATATGGAATTCAGTGGACCTACTGCTTCAAGACTTATTTATATTCAAAGGATTTATTATATTAAAGTTTTGAACTTCATTCAGACATGACTGGTCATGGGGCTGAAAATAAATATGAACGTATCAATACTTACTATGTTACAAGCGCAAATAATAATTTTCTCGAAAACAAAGACGATGATCATCAATCACTCAGTCAACCACAAACCACAGTGCACCAGAATTAATTATATCATGGAGTTACATTCAGAATTATTAGGTATAGTGTACTTTATTTTTCAATGGTTACAATCATCAGTACCTATAACTTAAGACGCCATCTTTAGACAATGACAAGACTGGAGAAGCTCCTAGCTCAGTTATAGCATATGAATGAACTTCCACTCTAAAATTCGCGGGAACACATTTCATTCTTCTTGTAGCAAGATCCTGAAAAGTTTATAAAACCGAAGTACATAAATTGAAATAGAAAAAATGTTCCTTTCCAAATTAAAAAATAAATGGTTTTTAACCACAACATATTGTTTACTATGTCTCATTTATGTATTTACTTATGATTTCATGAATGAAATAAGCTTCTCATAGGTAGGCATTAAAATAGATTTGTTTTAATTCAAATTCTTAATAAAACCTGCAATGACTTGATCGACACAATTAGACCAAGGTTTTGTAACAAAAATAACATATTAGATCACTTTATGGCGCCATTACTTAAGAGTTAGTGCTGTTTTTATTTTACCTATAAAGTTAGGAGGAAAACGTATTGAGACATGCATTGTTTGACCTAGTCAACAAAGCAGAATAGATATTACTTCATTCAGCTATACCTAATTAAAACTAAAGATGTAATAGAAAGATGGCCATAAATAATAACTCTTACAATTTAGATGAATATTTCACTCACATTTCATCTTAAACTTTAATCCTTCTTTTTGCTCATTTCAGGAACTCGGTCTAGACATCACCGATGAGCAGATCTCGGAGCTGGAATCCGCCATCCACGATATCGACTTCAAATCAGCAGCAGAACATGAGAAGATGGTCCGTCATGACGTCATGGCTCACGTCCACACCCTCGCCGAGAGGTGTCCCAAAGCAGCTCCTATCATTCATCTAGGAGCCACCTCATGCTACGTGGGAGACAACACGGATCTCATCGTGTTGAGGCATGGCCTGGACCTCCTACTGCCAAGGTTGGCAGCCATCATCAGCCAACTCTCCCAATTTGCTAATGAGTACAAGTAAGTTAAAAAAATCTGCTTTATCTAATAGTAATTGTCTGGTCAATTTCGACTAGGATAAATTTATTTATTTCAATTAAATAGTATAACATTACAGTCAAAAACCAAGGCGTTATATATTTCAAATAATTATAAAAGAAAAAAAATACAAAACAAAAATGTTTGGTTCAGTACAAACAAAGTACCCAGTGGCATAAAGCAGTCAGTTAGTCTGTCAGTTATATCCAGAAGTAAACTAAAAACGCGATTGTATGAGTACCAAAAGTTACGCTACAACAGCTAAACTGATTAGGACTTCAAAACGTCGTCGCATCGATTACAACAGATGTGATTAGCATACAATAAATAACTTGGAACAATAAGCAATAATCGTTAACCACTGTTTATAATGTACGAACTAGTCTATAGCTCCTGACAGACTCATACGTTAGAATATCTTATTAATTGGAACTACTTCCTGATTAATTGCGTATTGCTAAATAATATGAGACCTAATCTACAATGAAGTTATATCCATTGAAAATTCATGGACGTTCGTTAAGTTATTTATTAAAGACTATTAATTATACCTTATTGTAAAGTATTAGCCTGTGCGTTGATTTAGTATTGTCAAAGTTATAGGACGACAATACAAACATTTTACAACTTTACTGTCTACAAAATGCAGCAGTCCATTAATTTAAAACCTTATTTCTTGAAACAGGTTATTCGTACTAATGTTTAATTCTACTAATTTCAGGTCGCTCCCAATGCTCGGATTCACCCACCTGCAACCAGCTCAACTAACAACAGTCGGTAAGAGAGCTTCCCTCTGGCTAAGCGACTTGCTCATGGATGAGCGTGCCCTCTCGCGCGCCAGAGAGGACCTCCGCTTCAGAGGAGTTAAGGGAACTACAGGTACTCAAGCCTCCTTCCTACAACTGTTCAAAGGAGATGGCGAAAAAGTTCGAGCTCTCGATAAAAGGGTCGCTGAACTTGCCGGCTTCGATAAGCGGTACATTGTCACCGGACAAACATATTCAAGAAAAGTTGATTTGGAAGTAATTGCTGCTTTGTCTGGACTTGGAGCTACCGTCCATAAAATGTGCTCTGACATTCGTCTGTTAGCTTCACGCAAGGAGCTAGAGGAGCCATTTGAAGCCTCACAGATTGGCTCCAGTGCTATGCCCTACAAAAGAAACCCAATGAGGTCGGAACGCTGTTGCGCTCTTGCCCGCCATCTCATTACTCTACATGCTAATGCTGCTAATACCCATGCTGTACAGTGGCTTGAACGTACTCTTGATGATTCTGCGAACCGTCGCATTACTCTCGCTGAAGGCTTCCTAACAGCAGATGCCACTTTACTGACCCTGCTCAACATCTGCCAGGGATTGGTCGTGTATCCTAAAGTAATTGCTCGTCATATCGCTCAGGAGCTGCCTTTCATGGCCACTGAGAATATTATTATGGCCGTGGTTCAAGCTGGTGGTGATCGTCAAGTATGTCATGAGAAAATAAGAGTACTGTCACACGAAGCTGGTGCTCAAGTGAAGCAACATGGAAAAGATAATGATTTGATCGAACGTGTAAAGAACGACAGCTACTTTGCTCCTATTTTATCGCAGCTGGATAAGATTCTGGATGCGTCTACATTTATTGGTAGAGCTCCAGAACAAGTGACTGAGTTTATTGAAGAGGAAGTCAACCCCGTACTTAACAAGTACAAACAATCTCTAGCTGAAGTGCTAAACCTGTCGCATTGATGATTTAAAGCGTTTTCATCTTTTAAAATAACACGTATTAAACATTGTTAAATAATAAACAAGTTGTTCATTGAATAAAATCATATATTTACAAATTACAGCGTATTATTTCTATATTAATTTATAAAAATACAAAAATATGACTTCACTATTTTACAATAACATGAACTAGATAATGGTAACTCTAATTCCAATAATGAAAATTCACTAGGCTTAGCATTAGTAAGCTTCAAGCTGAAAAATGATTATGCAATAAATAACTATGAAATAACATTAACAAAACCGAACAAATAAATAAGCAACTTAAACAAGAGAGAGACAAATCGTCCAACTGTTTCGAGGAGAGAGTTATGGAAAATTCGTGATCACATTTTTATCACAATTTCGATGGCACGACGAGATTGGCAACTATGTTAAGGTACTTATAGAACGTTGGTAAGGAGTGTGTCTCCCTGGCACGCGGGGCCCTGACTGGGCCAGTTACATGCGCCTATGCTGGGGTCAAAGCTCAATTGCACTGGGCAGTTGAACACGTGAAGCGTGAACCTCTGTTTGGTACAGTCCCATCTACACGCGTAGAACTTGTTGCACTGTTTCGGATGTCTGAACAAACCAGCCCGCTGACAGTCGACCGAACCTTGCAACGTCTCGTCTCTGCTTCTCCATCCACCAGGACCGTATCGGTCAAATGCTTGAGAATCGATCGCAGATCCAGAAACAGATTCGTCTTTAGCAATTGTAGTTGGTGTAACTTCTTGATTCAACAACACAGTTTTGTATGTTGGAGCAACGGTAACAGCCTTAACGCGAGGTCTAACTCTAATATACTTTTCTGTGGACGAAACCAAGGTGGGTGTACTTGATACATAGTTTTCAGAATATACTGTCTTGGGCTTAGGCGTAACAGCTACATTATATCCACTCTGCTCCTGATAGTCTTGATAGAAAGAATCGTCGGGAACAATTATGGGGTTGAACGTGGAGGATACAATTGGAGCGGCGGTGGCAACCGCATCTACTTGTGATTGTAATTTACTATATCTGTCACCGTAACCTTCTTCGCCAATATCTCCGCGTTCAGCACTTTCGTAGTCATTGTAGTCACCAAGATCCTGAGGAGCCTGAGTTGGCCTCTTTCCTTTCAATATTAAAACTGGGGACTGGCAGCTGCACACAGCTCCTAGTTTACGGACGAGGAACGGGTTGAAATCATTGATTTTTGTTACAACGGCTACTTTAGGTTTTGTTCTTCTTGCGGGTACTGCGGGCGATATAACTTCGAATAAACCTTGCTCAATGGGGGCGTATGTAGACGTAACTGTCTTCGGCGAGTACGAGTAAGTTTCGGTGCTAGATACAACAATTGGTGCCGAGGTTGTGTATGAGACAGGAGCAACGAGTCCAGCATCAGAGCCTATCGTGCCGAACCCAAGTTGTTGAGATTTAGCTGTTTGAATCACAATGTTTTGTTTCCTTTGAACTGGGGCTGAGGTGGATGACACAGTAACTTCTTGATATGGATTGAATTTAATTTCAGATTGTTGTTCGTTGTATTTGAAACTTTCATAGTTGACTTCAGATTCCAAATCATCTGAAGGTGGCAAGTATTCTGGAGCCTGGTACTCAGGGGTGGTGCTGTATTTATACGCTGGCCTGCTGTTGATTTTACTCTCTGTTTATATGTAGAGGACACAACTGGAGCAGATGTCGTATAAGTAACTGGGGACACTAACCCAGCGTCAGGCCCGACAGTTCCGAAACCAAGTAAATGAGATTTAGCAGTTTCTACCACGATGTTATGTTTTCTTTCTACAGGAGCAGCATTATGGGATATAGATATTTCTTGATAAGGATTGTGTTGAATCTTTGAGTCAGCGCTCGCCTCATTGAAACCAAAGCTTTCGAAATTAACTAGTTTAGATTCAGTATTCTCTACAGGAGGTAAATATTCTGAAGCTTTGTAAGATGTCGTAGATTCTGCTCTGTAGGCTGGTGTAGTGGATTTGATGATGGGTCTAGCAGTGGTAGAAGGTGGCAGGTATTCATATTTGGGTTCTGCTGGTGGTAGATACTCCCGAGTTGTAGAAACAGTGGAGTAAGTTCTAGGTCTGTAAGTCGATTTTACAACAGGTGCGCTTGTAGATACTACGGGAGGTAAATATTCTTCACCCTTTGAGACTACTTGGATCTCAGGAGCTTGATATTCAACTTGCTGATAGGCGGGTGATACCGTGGAGCTAGGGAAGGAAATGTGAATGGACTCTACTTTCTGTGGCTGTTCAACATGAGATGTGCTGAAAGAATGTTGGTGTACTGCTGGCACTACATCGTGAGCACTTTCGTACTGTTGCGAGTAATCGTAGTTGTCTTGACTTTGGTAGAAGACGGCGCTTTGTTGATCAATCGGAGTTGACTCTGAAGATACAGAATAAGTCTGAGGAGATACGTATTGTTGAGCTTTGTGAATTACGGAGCTTTGGTGAACAACTGGGGCTGATGCAGTTGAACTGACAGAATAAGATTTGTAATTCGTCTTTGAAGTGTCATACTCCTGACCTGAGTGTACAACTGAGTTCTGTTGAACGATGGGTGTGGAGGCTGTCGATCCAATAGAGTATGATTGGTATTCTACTTTAGGAGCTACGTATCCTTGAGTTTGATGAACGATAGAGCTCTGATGGACAACAGGTGCTGAAGCGGTAGAAACTGAGTAGGATTTGTAGTCATTCTTTGGTGGAATGTACTCAGGAGCCTGGTATGTTTCTACTTTTGGTGACTCAATATCAGCGTAATGATTCTCGTAGATAAGAGTCGCAGGTGAAGTCGTCACATGTACAATATCTTTCCCAGAATTGTAATTGTGGTTTACATTGGATTGATGATAGACTTGGTGAGATACTGCACTCGCGTCAGAATAACCTTTGGACTCGATATTTCTTTGGATTTCGGGCTGGCTATACGAATATCCTTCTTGACTGAAGTGTACCTGCTGTTGTTCATATTGTACAGGCTGGCTGACAATGTGTTTCACTTCGTGTTGCTGAATGATTGGCTTATACGTCTGCGTATATACTGCCGCTGTGGGCTGTACGTACGTTACTGGAGTCTCCTTCTGTGTGTACTTAAGAATTGGATTTTCATATGTTGAAACGGCTTGTTGGTAAGATAATTCAACTTTAGGAGCAGGTGTGGAAGAAACTGGAACATAGTTTTGGCTTTCCACCTTATGAATAGTTTGATGACTATACGTCTGTGGTCTGTATGTAGAAGACACAATTGGTGATGGAGTAGAGTATTGGAATACAGCTTTAGGTTCCTCCACGAATTTCACAGCGGGCTTGTTGTACACGTAACCATCTCCTTGGTTGTATGTCTGAACTTGACTAGCATCGACGGTGTGCAAGGTTTGACCGAATTCTTGAGGTTCATAGGTTGAAACGGAAGGTTTCACTGTGGTATAACGAACTTGTTCATTCACAGCTACTGCAGGCTTAGAGTATTCATATCCTGAATCGATATTGTAAGTTTTGTTGTCTTCCACCTTGTGTATTGTTTGCTGGCTGAATGATTGAGATTTATAAGCAGGTTCGACGAAAGCAACAGGAGTTGCCTTCTGCGTATATTTGATGATCGGGTTTTCATAAACTGTGACTGGAGTCGATTGGTAGCTAACTTCGTACTTAGGTGTGGTGACACTGGCACATACTGATTAGTTTCTTTGTGGATAGTCTGGTGACTGAATACCTTAGGACTGTATGTTGAAGAGACGATCGGTGCAGGAGTTGAGTACACGTTATTTACTTCCTCAAATTGAATAGAAGGTTGCTCGTAAGTGTATCCTGATATTCCCGACGAAGATTCTCCAGAGTAGGTGTTGACACGGTTTGCGTCCACTTTGTGGAGAGTTTGGTGACTAACAACTTGTGGCTGGTACGTTGATACAATAGGCTGAACTGCCAGTGCCGGTTGTGCTGTCGTGTACTGAACCACTTTAGGTTCCTCGAAAGTGACTCCAGATTTTGAGTAGTCATAACCAGTTTCAATCGATGCAGATTCAACAGAAGGAGTATAAACTTTGCTAGCTTCTACTTTATGGATAGTCTGATGACTGTAAGACTGTGGAGTGTACGTGGCAGCGGTTGGTTGAGAATATGTAGATACTGATGGTCCAGTTGTATAAGCTACGACCTTCTTGAAAGGCTCTTCATAAACGGGTGTAGGAGTGGAATAACCAAAGCCAACAGATTCAACATTATGAACGGTTTGTTGATTATGGCTAACACTTTCGGGTTGGTACGTAGATACAGATATAGCTGGCGCTGCTGTAGTGTAGGAGATACCATCTTCAAACTTAATGCTAGGTTTAGAATATTCGTAACCAGAATCAACTTTCGTTTCACTGTTGTAACTGCCCAAGTAATCGTTGCTTTCGTGCTGGAAGTTTACACCTTGATTGTGATCAGTAACAATTACCTGAGGAGTGACTTGTTTGACAGCGATCGCTGTTGGCTGCACATAGGTTACAGATGGTTGAGAAACACCAAATATTTGCTTAACGCTTGTCTTAGGTGCTTCGGGAACGAAGGTAGTTTTATACGTCACCGTTGGGATCGATGTTGTAACTGCGAACGGAGTGGCAGTGGTTGGGACTCCAGAAGAAGTTGGAGTTGTCACGTAGCTGTATCCGTCAAGGTTGTTACCATCAGTGCCAACATGATTTATGGCAACAGCTGGTTGAGACACCAATGAAACATGAGCTGGGTGTAATGTTTGCGTAGAGTGACTGTAAGATTTTGATCCTTGATAGTTGCCTTCCCCTGAGGTTTTAGAATCCGTTGCATAGTAATTCACTTGGTTGTTATAATCGGCGTCGATTAGTGTTGTCTTACCAACTAATCCAACATTGATAGCTCCTGCGGTTAAAGTGTGAGATAAACCAGTGTAAGCCTTAGAGTCACTGATATAGTTTCCAGCATTCGCTTCGCTGTATCCGTGGTATTGTTGGGAATTAAATTGATTCGTAGCTTTACCTTCACCGATGTGGCCATCCGCTCTATATACTCCAGCTTCATATTGTCCAGAATTGTCGTGTTTGTATGCTCCAGAGTTATCAGCGTTATAACCAACAGAGTACCCAGAAGAATAGCCTCCTTTGTAACCACTTCCAATATTTGCTTCCACGTATGCTCCAGAATTATCCTGAACATATTTTCCAGTGTTATCTTCAGTGTATTTACCTTCATAACCGCTTTGAGATGATCCTGCATATTTTCCATAATCATAATAATCTCCAGACTGTTTGTAAGCAGCATCTTCATGGACGTAGGGTTCAACGGGTGAGTCAATGTGTCTATAGGGTTCCGCGTAGTCTCCTGAAGGATCATGAATGTAAGCTCCTGAATTATTGTCATCATAACTTGAACTTTGGTACTTTTTAGTGTTTCCTGTGGTATAGGAGCCCGTGTATCCATTGTATTGAGCAGTATTTCCTCCAGCTTGGACGGTGTATCCCGCAGCATGACCGGAACCATGAGCTGCATATCCAGTGCTGTGTCCAGTCTGGGTGGAATAGCCAGAAGTTTGTCCTGATTGCTGATATCCATTTTCAGAATTAATATTCTGAGCAATGTTAATTTTATGAGCAGCTTGCCTTTGAGATTCCTCTTTAGTAGGTAGTCTGTAGTCATCCAAGATAATGGAACCACTGGAATATTGAGGTTGTTCTCTATATTGAGTCGGTTGGACCAAACCGGCATGAGTAAATCCAGCGTCACCTACTTGATAAGCTAACCCATTGTCAATATGAGCAGAACCATGCCCTATTTCATAAGAATGTCCAGCGTTAGCTAGTTCTTGGGAAGCGATGAAGTTAGAGTTCAATGCGTCGTCACTGGTAAGGAATCCTCCTTGGATGCCGACATGGTTGTTGAGAGATGCGCCGGAGATGAGGCTCTGGTGGGCGGCTACGTTAATAGCATCTGCGGTTTGACCGTGATAGCCTGCTGCACCTGGGAATAAATTGATTAATGTAACCTCTTTTTACCATTGTACTTAATTTGAAATTAATAAGTAATTTTTGTTTGTATGAAATTAGTAATTTCTGATATTGAACTTACCAGTAAGAGTAGCAGCAGAGAAACCATACGTCTCAGCCTCATATCTGGCGATGTTACCGCAGGCTGGTACTAACCACGGCCAGTCACACTTCAGTCGTTCAGCGTCGAATCCGAGACCGAAAGGACAACGGAACTCGTATGCTGTTAGGGGAGACTTTCCATGATCCAGACACGCGAAGAACCAGCGGCAGTTCTCAGGGTCAGCGTAGTAACCTGGAAGAGATATTTAAGTTGTAATTAACTTCGAAACTATGACACATCCCTTATGTAGTTGCGGCACATCGTTCAGCTGTAAACTGTCAATGGGATATTGATTGTTATATGAAAAACTTTCTTACTTCTTATATGTTTTAAGTAGAAGATTGTAGTGTAATAAGTGATGCTTATTTGTAAACTATGAATCAATATAATCTGAATCAATTCACAAAACAGAAACTTTGTGTTTGACACTAGCAAAGACTAACCGGACTAAATTCCCAAGACTCATTAAATTGACACTATAATAAAGACTTATTACCTTCATGCTCAGGACAGATGAACCTGGTCTTTGGTACGGGAGCAATCTCAGAGGATCCAGGGCAGGCTTGTGAGTGTGGCAGGCTGCCTGGCCATACACACACCTCGTAGCGGTTGTCGAAAGCCAATCCCGCGGGACAGTCGAATTCGAACACCTGGAAAGAAAATTTACGTGTGGTAAAAATAGATTACATAGGTACCGACATAGGTAGATAGATTCTTATAATATTATTATGTTAAACTTTCGTAAAATGACATTTTGTTTTGATTGCTGCTTTGGAGAAAAATGAAAGTATATAGGTAGGACCTTATGGTCCTGGTTAGTTTTATCTCCTTACAAGTTCTGGCATTTTCCGATCAAGATTCTGACATGATACTACTCAGTGCAGTATTTTAATGTTGTGACAGCAATATCTACTAACGGTATATTCGGGTGAAAGCTGGTCGAACTTGACGCAGCGGTAGAAGCGGGCGCAGGAGCGAGGGTGCACGAAGTATCCTTGGCGAGAGCAAGTGAACTCAGTGCGAGTGTCCTGTAATGAGAACAATCGCGGATTAAATACAATGAAAATAATTTATTCAATCATCTTTGGCCGTTTCCATTTACTACTGGATGTAGTTGCACGACATTAAGCTCTATCTTCATTTCTTTGTGTCTGCGTCTTCGTATTCATTCACAGTTCATCCTATAGAGAAAATGTCAAGGGTGCTCTATGCTAAAACTAGAAACGATGATGATGAACATTATTATTGCTACAAATGTAACCGTCGCTTACATATTGTTAAAATTTTACTCATTTGGCAAAAATAGCGAGAAGATAACAAGATTTGCGTTCTACATGTTTTTAAATTTCGGCCTATAAAGAATTTATTGTTAAAGTGTTCTTCTTACCTCTCTAATGGAGTGTATGACACCGTCAGAGTCGACGACCTGTGTGATTCTGTAGGGCGAAACCTGCAAAGCGTCCAGAGCGCGAACATGACCAGGAGCTGACAGAATCTCGTGTTCTAATGACCTGCAAATGAGTTCACGATACTTTTAGTACATGCTTTGAAACAATTCAGATGTTTCAGAACTTTGTAAGTTAATTGCTCTAGTGTAAATCCGGATATGTATATAGGAGTAGCAATAGATAGAGACGTATGACAAGCTGATCATTTTTTCTTTCACAAGAGCTCACGATTTTTGGTAGTTTAAACTGTCAAACACCAAGCGGTCACCGGTGACCGCGACCTATTGTTCTTTAATTGTGTCTATAAAACCGGTACTCGACGAGTTAAATTATTATTTAAACTGTCAAACACCAAGCGGTCACCGGTGACCGCAACCTATTGTTCTTTAATTGTGTCTATAAATACGGTACTCGACGAGTTAAAAGACATTTACCTTAATACAGCAGCTCTAGGCGCTCGACTCTGCTGGTTGAGCACCTTGGCGAGTGAGGCTCTGAGGGTAGGACCACAAGCTGACTCCACGTCACGTTCAGCTTGGTGCAGGGCCAGGCCAGCCAGGCCACGGACCCTGGCGTACTTGCCCTTCACGTCAATTGAGGAGGAGTCCTCGAAGGAGATCCAGGTTTTGTTCCTAGAACGTTCAAAATACTTGTTAATTGATTTAAATTCATATTGGTAAGCAGATTACGTTTGATTGTAACGAAGTTATCGATCATTATGTGTTAATAATTAGTGCTAGTCCGAAAATCAAAATAATTATTAAAATCAGAACAGAGCGAAAAAATATAATTAGTGTAGGTATTTAGTTTTCCATTTATTTTTGGAAGTAAATATAATATTATAGATACATATCAAAAACGCCTACAGAAATCCAAATACTCTATTGACGATATAACAATCACTCACTTAAAAGCATAAGGCGCTGACAGATCCTGGTCTCGTTCCAAGGTCCACCGTCCTGATCTGAGCTGCCTGCAGAGTTCAGCCTGGTCGATTTCCTTAGGGTCATCATCTTCTGTGGGGCTGCCAGGAGTACTGAGGGTTTCGTTGACCAGGGTGAACTGACGAGCAGTCGCTGGCAAGCTTATGACAATCTTCGATGATGGCACGCCGAGGCCGATGACGAGGTCTACCACGGAGTCCTGTAAAATGAGTAAGAAAATTATACATATTTCTATAATTGGTACCTTTTCTTTTTGGTCCATTTCTTTTTTTCTTATTCACAAAAGATTACAGTGAATGGCGGACTTACACGCACGCTGTATTAAATAAAAATCATATTTTGAAAGTTTCTACAAGTTACAATCGAAGATTCAATAGAAAACTTCTCTAAACTATCTACCTATCGTAAAATGAATATTAAGTAGTAATTCTGAAATAAAAGTCTTAATCAAACTAATAAAGTATAGCATAATTAACATCGCATACATTGATTACATTCATACAAAATGTATTGCGTCGAACGACCTTAGTCCCATTACACGCCTTTTAACCACGACATGGCAGTCAGTCACAGAGCTATAAAATTAATACAACGAAGCTCTAATTAAGTACCATCCATCCTTTTATAAAACCGTGCATCCCACACACACACACATACAAGTCACACCGTTGTCAATCTCAAAAGAGATGCACCTGTTTATAATTGCCCTACATAGCCTAAATTGATCAAATTCAACCAACATTACATTACCTTCCAATCATAGGAATAACAACCTTAACGTTGAAAACTCAAGGATTATTTACATGCATTGCTAAGTTTGTTAGTATTTTTTTTTCTCAAATGCAGTTGGCCTTCAGAAGTGCGTTTAATACGTGACCGAAATACAAGTGATGGATGGACAGTCGGTTTAACCGAATGATTGATTCCTAATTATTGAAATTGCATGCGTGTAGGCAATTAAACAGTTGTCAGATTGATGGGGATTATTTACTGTTCATACAGAATTATGACGTTCTATTTAGGTAGTTCTTTGATAAAATATAATTATCTATTTCTATTAATTTTGTTGCAAACATAGATAAATAATATTAATAAAATCACGCCTTTTATCCCCGAAGAGGTAGGCAGAGATGCACGTTACGGCACTTAATGCTAAAATGTAACACGGTAACACCCACTTTTCACTATTTATGTTATGAGTCCCATGTAATAGGGGGTGAGCCTATTGCCATATACCGGGCACAATTCCAAACTCCTAGTACTGAGACTACTCTTTTTTTTTTTAAATCCAGTAATACTTTGCCCAACCCCGAGACCCCAGGCTTGCCCGGCAGTCGCACTTGCGACCACTCGGCCAACGAGGCAATCATAGGCCAACGAGGCAAACATAGACTATGGATAATTCTAAGATGGTACTGATTTATGGGAAATATAAAAATTTATTATGATATCATAGAATGAAATTGGTTTATCACTATTAACACGAATTAAGTCTTCGACTGCCAATAGTGAACTGTTGAAGGGAAATGCTCTGCTAACGTGGCATCGGTCACCGATAACCACAGGAGAGTAACGTGTTTAGATACAAAAAATATTCATGTCTAAGTGTTAACCCATCGAGCGTCCGCGTACCTTATGATCCAACAGGTGCACATGTGACATTTAGAGAAAGAAAGAAAGAAAGATTATTTGGCCATTGGCACACGAAAACAAGGATCATTACAATAGAAATAAAACAAATACAGTCAAAATAAAAACAAAACATTAATAATAGATTTTATAAAAGAGAAAGCATCATGGAGCATTTTTTCTTATGATCCACCGGGTGCTCATAAGGACGCTCGAGGGGTTAAGCATCATGATTATATCAGTTTTAATAACTTTGCTTACAATGAGTCGGTAATGATACAAGTTAACCATCATAATTCGGACATTTGTTACATTATGAATGTCTTTAAGATAACATCCTATTCAAATATTCTATTTCTCAATCAAAATTGGAGCAGTATTCAATCATTCACTAATTTATATAACGCGATTGTATTGTATTACAAATATTGAATTACTTTCTTATGACATAGCTTTGTTTATTCACAAATTGTGCAGTCATTACTTTTGTTTACAACTATTGTTAGGTAATCTAATGTAATTCTATAGTAAGGCTTTGTAGTTTGAACAATGTAAATAGAAAACTATTAATTTATTCTTTATTTTAATGATACAAAAGGAAATCTAACTAAAAAGATGTTTTACAGAAATATAATATGAAATCTACTTTAGCTACAGTTAATGATGTCATCCACAATTCAGATTTGAATAAAAGAATAGACAAATACAAAGGCAACTTTAAAAGAGTCTATTATAACACAATCATATCACGCCTTTTATCCCCGAAGGAGTAGGCAGAGGTGCACATTACGGCACTAAATGCAACTGTACAATGTAACACCCGCTTTTCACTATTTATGTTATGAGTACCATGTAATAGAGGGTAAGCCTATTGCCATTACACCGAGCATTGTTCCACACTCCGTGTTACTACTTAGATTCTTTTAAAAAACCCAGTAATATTTTGCTCGACACGGGAATGGAACCCGAGACCCTCGGCCAACGAGGCAGTCTTTTTCTTCTTTCAATTCTTTATTGAAAGAGTTTATTAATCTTTTTTAAACAATACGCTAAGATCACATTCATACAAGTCGTTTATTAACTTACTAAACACATACTCAAACTACCTTAATATTCAAATAGAAACAAAACTAAAATATTACTTACGGTGTTCATCATGTCCCACATGCCGCTCAGTCTACTAGGATGGTAGGTCATCTTCTTCACCAAACCCAAAGCATGGGTCTGCACCATCAAGAGATCCACCTTCTTCACCAGCGTTCTCAGGTCGTAGTACTTGGCCAAGAGTTCAGGGTGGGCGGGGAGTGCCATGAATAATGGGCCACCTCCTGAGGAGCTGATGGCAGTACGAGCTGCCTCCACTGTCTCCAGGACCTTGGTTCTGTTGAGAGACTTGTGAGCATCGTAGATCTCAAGTCCTTGTACGTGTTTCGACTTTAGAAGGCTGCGGAGATCCTGGAATGAAGAAGGGTGAAATTAGTTTTGTCTACTTTGTACTGGGTTTTTTTTTGTTAAACGTTGCCCTACATTAGGATTTTTTTCTGTGTCGTGGTAAAAATACATGTTCACATACACAATGACAGCCAGACCTGAGACCACAATTTGTGAATCACATAAAGAGTTAGCCCGTGAGGGAATCCAACCCGCTACACATTGCGTGGCAGCCCGTTGCCCAGCCACCGCGCCAAGTCATATTGATTGTGATTTAGTCATTGTGATTTAGTTTATTGGAATTGAAAAACGTTTTAAAGATTCATCTTCGAGTCCTCAGTTGTAAAATAATTGAAATTAATATGAAATAATCAAATAAAATGAAAAGACCTGTCCTTGGTAATTAGCCCAGAGATACATAGCTCGAAACTCAGTGGAAAAAATGAAGGAGATGATCAAGAACAAAGACAGTTGAAAAAGGCTAAAGAAGATTTACGACCATTTTCTATAACCTATCTGTAGATTAGCTTACTGAGATAGAATTTTGACGTAAGCTCCATACAAAATGTGTCATAATTTTATCTCGGTAAGCAAATCTACAGATAGATAGGTTATAGAAAATGCCCATTACTGACTTTCTAACTATGAAAGCTTAAACGCTAACCCATAACATATCAAATCAAACAAAATATCTATATGCAGGTGCAACCTGCATTCATTTATATTATTTCCATTTCATTGCAGGACCTAATAAACGTACCTAGGTATATTTTGTGACCTGAACATAAATCACATGCGTACACGCATGTCACTTCAGATATAAGATCAAACGGACGGCGGTCCAATTAAATTCGTATAAAATTATCTATAGGCAGGAAATTCGTTATTAACTAGTATTGCTAAATCGTTTAGTGACACGAAAATGTCCTGATTTTGTTCCCATTTATCTTTCTGACAGCTAACCTACAGCTATCGAGAATTACATGAACTTGTACAAAAATCTCAGCTAATAAATTGCAGCTATTATAAAATATACGTAATTAGCAGGTGCCTAAATGATTTACCTCGATCAATCACTTTTTCAAGGTTCCTACTTACTTTTAAAATCTTTATATATATAATTCTTCTGTGAGTGTGTATGTCACTGAACTTCTCTCAAACGACTGGACAGATTTTGATGAAATTTTTTGTGTGTGTTCAAGGGGATCTGGGAATGGTTTAGATTCACAAATCAGCCCGGCAGATAGCGCTGCAGTCGAAGTTTAGGTTATTTAAACTTTATTATCTTGAAATATCGTAATAATATGCAGAACAACGTCTGTCGGTTCCGCTAGTATGTATATGTATATAAAAATGAAACCCGTTTCCCATTGTCACGCCATAACTTGAGAACGGCTTGACCGATTTGGCTGATTTTTTTTTTGTTGTGTTGTTATCGTCAGGAGAAGGTTATTATGACAGAAAAAAGTCCCGAAAATCCTACGGGAATGGCAGAAACGGGATTGCGCGTACGAAGTCACCGGCAGAAGCTAGTATATATTAAAGAAACATTTGAATTCCTCTATTTCTGTTATTTTTATTCATTTCCAATGTTGTATCTTTATTTTTGTTTCCGAAAGGACATTATTTAATGAAAGTAGTCTCTATTGAAGGGCAACAGCCCTTTCGAAAGTACATTTATTTTTATAATGTCCTTATGTTTGTAACAATTAAAGTCATATTTGCTCCGTTTAGCGTAATTTATGAGGTCCATTATTTTTATTATGGTTGACGCAACAAGTAATATAAAGTAATCAACGTAAAAAATATTGGCATTAGTTTTAATTGAGGTTTTTTTTAAATGTTAATACATTTTGCTTATAATGTGGATAATTGATTTATTATATTCTTGATCGCGGAGAACCTAACGGGTAACCGGGGCTCCGGCTCGACGTGCAGGAGAAGGAACGGGGTGGTTTTTAGTCAGTAAGTGTCTGACACTAAGGTGGGAGCAGTCGTTCGATGATTTTCGACCCTTAAAAAAATAAAAAAAAGGCTCGATTTTAGCCTTAGGCGGGCCTCAGTTTACTTTTTGTATCTGCCATGGTTTTGATAAACAAACCAGTCCAGAAGGACAATCAGTCCTGGGCGCTTACTCTTGAACCAATCTCAATGTCAATGCAATTTCAATCCAATAAAATCTCAATAATTATTCAATGTCAAAACTATACAACCCCTATCGTAGCTGTTAAAATAGCATTCAGGGTACGGAATATAAAGCCAAACTCAATACCATTTAGTTAATTAAATATCGACTCAATATGGTTGCGATGAGCGCTAGTGTATCTCGAGAGTACGAAATTTCACAATACCAATGTCGATCGATCGGAAATGGATTCAAGAGTAAGCCTCCTGATAAGAATCACGAAGACCTAAAAGACTGACAACATAAAAGATTTGTTTTCTGAATACAATAAAAGCTTAGGTATTTTTGCACTTAGTTACAGAAAAAACCTCTCTATTACTTAATTTACATCACATTATCGACCTACAAGTTTCATACAACTGATCTAGATTAAAAAATCTTGATAGGATAACTAGATAACTAAGTCACTAAACTAGACTATCCTTATACAATAACAATATAATTGAATAATTAACTTCACAATACCTTACACAGTGAGTCATAACATAACATAACATAACATAATATGATAAAAATGATTGGTGTAATGTATAATGCAATATGTCGTAACTCGGGAGTGACAGCATCGTGTCTCGTGACCAAACTGTGTCATTCACTGCCTAGTGTCTACCTCTAGTAATACAGATTTATTTATAAGCCTAGAAATATAAATAAAGCTAGATACTGGTTTAAGATAGAAGAGGTAGGTGATTATGATATTGTGAAACCTGTCTTTACAAATTAGGTTCTAGGTAATTCTAACAAAGTCTATTTTTATTATATTGGGAAAAGACATTTGTTTTTTATGGCATAAGCCGGTAAACGAGCAGACGGATCACCTGATGGTCAGCAATCGGCGTCACCCATAGACACCTGAAACATCAGAGGCGTTACAATAGCGTTACTGGCCTTTTGGGGATTAGGAGTTTGAGGATCGTTGGGGATTCAGGAATTGGGGAGATTGGGGAAGGGGAGGGTAATTGTGCCTCCGGTAACCTCAACATTCGTGCCGAAGTATGGCTCTCCCACACTTCAATAAATATCCTCTGTTAGGTATTTCAGAAGCAATGGAGATGAAATTAATTAATGTGTGTAATTTCACAATTTCATTATGTTAAATAAGATTAACAAAGCGGTAATATTTACGATACATATAGCTAGGACCATAAACATACTACAGCCTCTACTGGCCCATTTATGTATTCCTTTTCTAAAATGAGCACAATATCACTCAATCAACTTGGTTTGCAGTAGGTACCTAACTACCAAATTCATTTTATTTCCACTGACTACATTGTACAGTGGCATTAAGTGCCGAAATGTGCATCTTTGCCATCCCCTTCGGGGATAAAAAGGCGTGATGTTATGTTGCTCTGTTTTCATCTTAAAATTTGTTTTATTTACAAACAAACTGTACACACATACATATATACAAATAAGTGAGCGACATGAGTCAGGTGGCAAAAAAGGGTTTCAATTTAGCACAATGTCACAATATAGGAGTGCCTAGACTTAGTTTATCTAGACCAAACTGCGTGTATGACCAATTTGAGTCTAGCTCTGTTAGAACTTAGAAGTTATAAGCTACTGTAATGTAACAACTAGATAACGGTAATGGAGCTGTGAGACTTTTTTAGAAGAAACGTGATAAGCATTTATTTATGTTATGAATTTCAAAAAATGGCTAGATAAAATTTGTTACGCTTTATCCAAAATTTCATCTCTTTAACATCGATCCATGCCTTAAGAAATATCATTGTATATTAGAATAGGGTATTATTGTATATGTAGATTACCTTAAATCATTAGACACGTACTTGAAATGTCGCTTGACATCACTTCTATGTACATTTTATACGTAGAAATGACGTTTTAGCCCCTACTCCTGAACTTTAATTCGTCTTATCTAAGTATTGTTTTATTATACGACAAAATAAAAAAATACGTGTCTAATATTTTTCATTACCTTACTTACGGACTAATTAGATTTTTAATTTTCATACCCTGTCCACATCCCAATTGCGTGTTTTTGTTTAGTTTTCAGTGCCCAAACCTCCATAGAAGAAACGTCCATCTTTACTAAAACCACGGCAATATAGAATAGGCTTAACGAACCATAAATTGGCTAACAAAAACCAGTTGAAAACTAGTTGCTGACAGTTGAAAAGAGTCGTTATCTTACGATTGATTGATTGAGACAGCCTCACAATAGGACCACTAGTGCGGACCAAAACATAACAATCAATTCAACATACCAATTTGTAACCTAACTTGACGACATAAAGCTTAATATCAATTTCACAGTAGATTATAATGTAAATTAGTCTAATGTCGTTCATATTTTAAGTTAACAAGATTATTACGTGAGTAAATATGTATTAAAGGTGATATTTCTCAATGTAATAGAGCAGCAATGGTATTTGTTACAAAAATAGCTTGTGGCTATAAACAGATAAAGTTACGCTTATTGACATATCATTGACATAATATTTCGGTGTGTCCTTGTTTTTGGATATGCCTCGTTGTTCAATATCTATAAGAATCATTACAGAACACTTACTATCAATTATAACATCGATAGAAAGAAGACAGAATGTAAAATATAGTGAAACTAGATACAAGCTTTTTAGGGTAAATTCAACAAAGCTATTGATATTTTTTTCTTCGAACTCTATAATGTGTATGTGTGTAAATTTTTCATTTTGATGGCCACTGTAATCTAGATAAGATATAATTATTTTGATATTATTCTGTAACGCACCTTTAAAACATCTCTCATCCATATTTTTCTTATTAATTTGTCATTTAGGCAACTCAAACATTTGAACTTAAACCTTATATTGTATCAACATAGGTCCTC